GGAAAAAAAAAAAAAAAAAATTAACAAGTTGTTACTTTTCTTTTTTTCAGAGGTGGGTTGGGGAGTGTTTTGAGACAGGGTTTCTCTGCAGCTTTGGGGGCTGTCCTGGAACTCACTTTGCTGGTCTTGAACTCTCAGAGATCCACCTGCTTCTGCCTCCCTAGTGCTGGGATTAAAGGCATGCGTCACTACCACCCGGCTAGTTGTTACTTTTCTACTCTTGTTTTTTGAGACCACTGCTCAGTAGTCCAGGCTGGCCTTGAATTCTAAGAAGTCCTCTTGCTTTAAGTCTACCAAGTGTTGTGATGGCAAGCCTGAGCTACCACACGTAGCACCTCTCCTAATCTTGATTTTTGACAAGACATAATCACTACGTCAGTCTCAACAACCATACTTACCTGGTTACCATATCAACAAATAGAAACTATCTAGTCCCCCCCCCCCAGAAAGAGTTTCTTTGTGTAGCTTTGGAGCCTATCCTGGCACTCGCTCTATATACAAGGCTGGCATCAAACTCCTGCCTCTGCCTCCTGAGTGCTGGGATTAAAGGCGTGCACCACCAACGCCCTGCTAAATAGAAACTATCTTAATCATTGTTCATCCTTTTTCTTGCCCTGTGCATTCACCCAGCTGAGCACACAAAATTGGGGCTCACACTTGGCACCTAAATCAAGAAATACTGAAATTTCAGAATGGCAGTGCAGTTCCCTTGTTAGAGTGCTTTCCTGGCATGCACCAAGTCCTGGTACTGCATAACTGTGGTGATACACTCAAGAGACCATACAGGACAGCCTGGGCTACATAGACAGACCTTGTCCCAAGAAATAAAAACAGTGCTGAAAAATAATCCCAGCACTTGGGAGGCAGAGACAGGCAGACTCTGAGTTTGAAGCCATCCTGGTTTACAAAGTGAGTTCCAGAACAGCCAGGACTACATAGAGAAACCCTGTCTTAAAAAAGCATCCCTCCCCCCAGAAAAAGGCAAGATTAGAATAATTAAGGATAGCCTTGGCTACCTGAGACACTAGCCAAAAAAACCTCTGAAAATTCAATTTTTCTAAAGAATTTGTATACTATACTAAGCAGTGTTTATTTTAGGAATTTCCTTTATAATTTATTTCATGACTAGATAGGTGGGCTTGCTGAAAGTGTGGGTTCTTCCAGTCTATTTAAGATACTGTAACAGTCTCAGAATAACATTTAGTAGTATAAGGTGATGCTTTGGTTTTAGATGTTTTTGTTTTGTTTAAGGCATAAAAAAATTGCTTTGGATGGGGTGAGGGCTGGAAAAATGGCTCACCGGTAGCATTAGTTGCTTCTCTTGCAGAGGACAGCACCCACATCAAGCAGCTCATAACTGCTTATTCCAGGGGATACAGTGCCCTCTTCTATGGTGATATATTTTATGATTCAATAAAGATTGCCTGAAGAATCAGAAAGCAAAGCTATATTGATACAAATTTGAAATTAATTTTGTTAAAACATACTGTACATATGTTTTTCATATTGTACAAGGTATGGTACCTATACAGCTTATTTATCAATGTAATGAAAATTTCTAGTCCTTAAAAGTTATTATTACCAACTATATAGGATAATAAGGAAGTGTAGGTTAGTAATTAGTCAACTATTACAATCAAACTTGTAGTCATTTAGATATGTTTTCATGGTCAAACATAGATATATTTTAGATAGAAGTTCATCTTCAAATACTTCAGAGATCTACAGAATATGGCATTTAAGATGTTTTAATACCATAGCTTCTTTTTTTTTTTAAATGACAATGAGACATGTCTGCTCCTGGAAGCACCAATCTATTTCAGAGAAAATGATGGGTATTGAAGAAACTCACATGTAGTTTACATTCTTTGTGGCAAAAGTGAGCCACTGGGCAAGAAAGTGCCTTTGCCTCGACTACTGACAGTATGCTGCCCAAATTGGATAAAAAGGACACCAAAAGGAGTGACTGCAAACCTTGCCAAGACAAGGCAGGACAGCTCTTCAGAATATCCTGCTTCACCAAAAAGTCTGTCAGATATGCTAGGCCTATAGGCCAAAGATGGATGCCCCAACATTACAGAGGAATTTTGGGTGACTGTCCAGGAAGCCAGCTATTTTTGTTATTTCTCATATTTTTTGGAAGTTGCTTGCTTGCACTTCCTGCTTACTTAGTTAATATTATTTCCTTCTTGGGTCTCTGAAGGAGTTGAAGACTACATACTATAGTTATAATTTTCATTATTTACCAGACTCAGAAAACAAACTCATAAAGATGTATAAAGTATAAAAGTCTGAGAGACTTTAAAAGATAATATGATAATGTAAATTAGAATAGAAAATAAATTAGGTACAAGACTTTGAACTCACTAAGATAGGATATATAATGTAGTATTTTCTATGAATTTGTCAAATGCAAATGAATTAGACATTGTTGATGTATGTGTTGTCTGTATATATTGTATATAGTTCTCCTTATGTTAGTTGTAGCCTTCTTTTTGTATTAGACAAAATAGGGCAATTGCATTGGTGGCACACACCTTAAATCCCAGCACTCAGAAGGCAGAGGCAGGTGGATCTCTGTGAGTTCGAGACAAACCTGGTCTACAAGAGCTAGTTCCAGGACAGCCTCCAAAGCCACAGAGAAACCCTGTCTCCAAAAACCAAAAAAGAAAAAAAAAGGGCAACTGTAGTGATACATTATTTATGATTTATTAAAGCTTGCCTGAGAATTCAGAAAGCAAATCCAGCCACAATCTATTGGTCAGACAGTGGTGATACACATCTTTAATCCCAACATTCATACTAGCTAGGCAGGCAGTGGTGGCACACACCTTTAATCCCAGGACTCGGGAGACAGGCAGATGGATCTATCTGAGTTCAAGGCCACCCTGGCCTGCACATGAGTGAAGAGTAACAGAGCTCAAACCTTTGATCCTAGCACTTGGGATCACATGCCTTTAAACCAAGCACCAGGGTAGTGGAGACAGGAGTATTTTGGCTGGAAAGAGAAAGGAATATAAGGAGGAGGAGACAGAAACTGAGAGCTTTTGCCTCTGAGAATTTGTGGAGACAACCATTTCAGCTTGGTAGAAGTAAGATCTACTGGCTTGGCTCCTTTGCTTCTCTGATCTTCATCTTGAAGCTTGAACCTTAATATCAGTCTCTGGGTCTTTTATTTTTTGTGTTACATATTGGTGCCAAGTGTGAGGCCCATGCAGGTTTCCCAACTGTCAGTCCAGAGTCCATGAGCCTCCGAGCCATCTCGGCAGCAGCTCCCCATCCCCTTTTCTTTTTCAAATTAGTATTGCATACTCCTGTTTCCTTAAGGTCTTGTGGAATGGCCCCCATAGGCCTATATGGTTTGAAAGTTCATTCCCAATTGATGAAGCAGTTGGGGAGCAGGAAATTTGAGTTGGGGGAAGAATAGAGGAGAGTAAGGTAAGAGATACCACATAATACAGGGAGCCATTATAGGTTTAAAGAGAAATCAGATGCTAGGGAAATGTCTGTAGATCTACAACCATGACCCC